CATGTGGCCTCCCCCCTCTCCGGTGCTCTGGAGGGAGTGGCTGGAGCCCCACTGCTTCCCCCTACCCCGGTGCTGGGGATGGGTGGGAACTGTGTGGTCTTCCCCCTCCCCAGTGCTTGTGGGGTGGAAGCAGCGCAGCCTCCCCCCTCCCTTGTGCTCTGGGGGGGGGACGGAGCCGCTTGGCATCCCTTCTTGCCAGTGCTCGGGGAGGGGTCGGCTGGTGCCACGCAGCCTCCTCCCTTCCCCGGTGTTCAAAGGGTTGAGTCCCACGGCCTCCTCCTTCCCCCACTCCCTGGTGCTTGGGGTAGAGAGAGCTCTGTGGGTCCCCCTCTCCGGTGCTTGGTGTATGTGGGGAGGAGCTGCATGGCCTTCCTCCAGTGCTCCAGGGAGGTGGGCTGCAACTATCACGCGGCCTCTCCCCGGACATTGTTTGGGGGGGGGAGAGGAGGATGGAACCGCGTGATCTCCCACCTCTCCGGTTCTCGGGGGAAGAGGGGCAGGGCAGGAGCCATGCAGCCTCCCTCTTCCCCCCTCTCCCAGTGCTCTTGGGAGCAAGGTGGGAGCCACACAGCCTTCTCCTTCCTCCCTCCCTGATGTGCTTGGGTGAGGCGAGAGCTTTGTGGCCTCCTCCCTCCACGGTGCTTCGGGGGAAGAGGGGGGCAGCCTCCTCTCTCCCCAGTGCTCTGAAGAGGCTGAAGGGGATTTGGTGAGCCTAGTGAAAAGGAGAGCAGCCCCCTAGTAGTTTGAAAAGTTCCTGCAATGTACTAAAGATTTTGATTTGGAATTGTGTTGTGAATTAGGACTGATCCCGCCAATTGCTGATTACTATCAGTTTCTGAGTATGTTCAGCACCTTGCATGATTGGGTCCTATTGCCTAACTGATATTATTTTCTTCATTTAATGATATTGCCCTGTAATTAATATATTCATGGTAAAAACTATCTAAGTAGTTATTATGAAGCCTTTTTTTTTCCCCAAGAAGCATGAACTGTGCTCAGACAGATGTACAGGAGCAGCTGAAATTCTTTTATACAGAAGACTCGAGCCTGATTCTTCTTCCATTAATCATAGTAGAATTTTGACTTCGCTTAGAGCAAGACTGGACACATAGATGCTGCACTGAACTAGTTAGATTGCCCATTTAATACAAATAATGGAACATCAGTGTCAGCCGACGGTCAGGGCTCCCTATCTCTGTCCCTTTATGACCGGCTGAAGTTCTTTTAAATTGTGCTTGGTTCTATTACAGCAACTGAAGGAGTCAGGTTAAAACTTAAACAGTTACAGGTTTATTTGAGGAAGCTTATAAATCATATGGTTGCAATGGCTATTGTTCTATTTCTTAACTACTAGCAAAATATAGATCTTAAAAATGGTTACAAAGAAGATAAAGATAGAAAAATAGAAATAATGGTACCAAGTAACAGCTTACTCTTTCTATGTGTACACTTAAGACAGAGGACCACATTCAGGTACAATTTTTACCCCCTTCTGTGCCTCTCGACTCCAGCATGTCAGGCCAGGGCCGGTCCCTCAATTCCTAGGAAAGACGAAAATACGAGGTGGGCGTCCCCATAGAACCTCGGGAGGTCAAACACCTAACTCGACCAGCAGGTAGAGGGTAGAATGACACTGAAAGTGAGTGTGATGCTGGACCTGTTTTTATACTCATGGGGTCACGTATTTCTCTTTCTTGTCTGTCATGCCAAATGGGGCTGGTCTGTCTTTTGTGAGACCAGTTCTTACAAGGGAGTTGTGAACTTAATTTACACTTGTAAGAGAGATAACTAAATTGGAATTACTGGGGATTCTTTTCTCAGTAGGAAATTCCTCTCCCAGGGACTGTGTGTGTGTGTTCGAATCAACATGGGTGCCAGCCGGGGCAGTTCTCGCAGCCTCGAGGCCAGCTTATTTCCTTAATCGTTACTCAGAGTCAGAAACGTGCATATCCTGATCTCTCATCAAAGCAGCAGTGCCAGCCAGGGGCAGTTCTCGCAGCCTCGAGGCCAGCTTACTGATTTAATCGCTCTCTCTCCACATATCTGTGTTTTTTTCAGCTTCTCAGGATCAGATGAGCCAGCATAGACTATGCTGATTTTATTGCTCCTTTTCTGCCCTGTATGCTTCAGAGAGGCAAATAAGATGGATGATATGGGGGGGTTAGTCTGTCTGGCTACAATCAGTCGGTGTGGAAACTTCAGAAGCTAAGTTAAAACTAAGGATGTACTTTGCAAACTCATTTTGCAACACGTGAGAGTTCCTAGAGGTTTGATTATAGTATACTTACATGAATCTCAGATTTCTCTAGATTGCTTTCTTCAGCTACCTTCAGAGCTCTAGGTATTCTATCTTCATAATAGGGCCCTTTTTTAAACACTTGGTCTGAAATAATAAAGTGTAGCTTCTTGAACTAGGTGGTAAATATCATCTGTCTACCCCGAGCTGCATTTCTTTTTATGTTTTGCCCTGGCCATTGTGATCTACTGATGCTCAACCTTACTGTGGCGGGTCCTTGAATTTGGAATTAATTCCTGCTCATTGATTTATTAGCCTTTGGTGCTGCAAAACCAGTCTTATTTAAGACTTTTGTAGTTTGAATGGGGGTGAGTGGGACTATGGGAGGCCTGGGCAAAATATAGCCAATGGGCTCGATCCAGCCCACCAAGCCACCAGATCCAGCCCGTGGACAATGCTGTGAGCCCCAGGCAGGCTTCCTGCTTGCCTTACACTACCTGTGTACTGCTCAGAAACATGGCTGCGGGGTGGTTTTTCTTTAAAAACACTTGAGACTGAAAGGCTTCAAGTGCTGCTCCTTCCCCCAGCACAATCCCATTGGCCAGTAACTGGCTAATTGGAGCAGTCTGTTTGAATAATAGGCAGCCACGAAGCAATGTTCAGGGCTCGTAGCTATTCACACAGCACGTGGCTTCTGCCTGGGGGGGCGGAGAGGCTCCTTGCTTGCCTGAGAAAGTGCTGGGCTGCTGGCTGGTAAGCAGGGCCGGCCTTAGGCCGATTCTCCTGATTCCTGCACCCTGAACCGGAAGTATGCCGGGCGCCATGGGCGGCGAGTTAATATTCAGAGCCAGGGGCCCTGCTCCAGCAATATTTTGGAGCTGGGTTTCTCTCTGACTCTGCCCAATCCAAGAAAGGACCTTCCCTCTTATCCCATGGCCATGTAATTTACACAAGAGCCTTTGGTGAGGGACCTTGTCAAAGGCTTTCTGAAAATCTAAGTATACTATATCTACTGGATCCCCCTTATCCGCATGCTTGTTAACCCTTTCAAAGAACTGTAATAGATTAGTAAGACAGGATTTCCCTTTACAGAAACCATGTTGGCTTTTGTCCAACAAATTATGTTCTTCTACATGCTTCACAATTTTATTCTTTACTATTGTTTTGACTAATTTGCCCGGTCTTTCTGAAAATCTAAGTATACTATATCTACTGGATCCCCCTTATCCGCATGCTTGTTAACCCTTTCAAAGAACTGTAATAGATTAGTAAGACAGGATTTCCCTTTACAGAAACCATGTTGGCTTTTGTCCAACAAATTATGTTCTTCTACATGCTTCACAATTTTATTCTTTACTATTGTTTTGACTAATTTGCCCGGTACTGAAGTTAGACTTACCGGTCTGTAATTGCCAGGATCGCCTCTAGAGCCCTTTTTAAATATTGGTGTCACGTTGGCTACCTTCCAGTCATTAGGTAGGGAAGCCGATTTAAAAGATAGGTTACAAACCACAGATAATAGCTCAGCAATTTCCCATTTAAGTTCTTTTAGAACCCTTGGATGAATGTCTTCCGGTCCCGGAGATTTGTTAACATTAAGTTTTTCCATTTGTTCCAAAACCTCCTCTAATGACACTTCAATCCGGGACAGTTCCTCACATTCATCACCCACAAAGGACGGTGCAGATTCAGGAATCTCCCCAACGTCCTCAGGATGATCAACATGAGGCAGCTCTGTCTCCTCCTGGTCCTTTTTCTGTTGTCCCACTGTTTTCCTTATTGCTATTTCATTACAGAATTTACAATTTCAGCACTTAATTTTGGGAGGACCTTAATTTTTCCCCTCTCCTCTTTGGAATTTACCTTACTTTTTAAGTAAGTGACTTGGCAAAACCAAAATCAAAATAGTAGTGCTTGTCTACACTGGAGGCTTCTTGCACAAGAACATCTTGCTCAAGGGTTCTTGTGCAAGAAGTCTTGTGCAAGAACACATCCACACTGCCATGTGCAAGCTGTGCTTTTGTGCAAAAGCATCCATGGCAATGTGGACGCTCTTGCGCGCAAGAAAGCTCCAATGGTCATTTTAGCCATAGGGGTTTCTTGCACAAGAAATCCCTGCCGAGCATCCACACTGCCCTCTTGCGCAAGAGAGCTTACACCTGTTAGAAAAGAGCATAGCTCTTGCGCAAGACACCCTCTCTTACCACGCCGTACTGTAAATTTCCTTGCACGAGAGCAGGCGGGCAATGTGGCTGCTCTGTGGGTTCTTGCGCAAGAACGACTGTACTTGCGTAATAAGCCATGAGTGTAGACATAGTCTTACAGGGAACATTTCCCCCAGCCTCTCTGCCAT